TGGACTCCCAAAGTTGTCCTCCAACCTCATACAAATGCTGTGACATGTATGGCTACACACACAAATTTTATATATATATATATATATATATATATATATATATATATATATATATATTAATTTAAAAGCTAGATATAGTGATACACACTTGTAATCCCAGCACTGGAGAGGTGGGGATGGGATCCTTGGGGCTTGCTCGCCAGCCAGCCTTCCTTACTTGAATTCCAGACCAATGAGAGACTGCGTCTCAGAAACAACAAGGCGGATGGCTCCTAAGGAATACCACCTAAGGCTGGCCTCTGAGCACCACATACATGTATGCATGGACACAAGACCGTCTATAAGCCTTGTGCTCTAGATAGCTTGTTCTTTTGGCAGTTTGTGAATTAAAAAAAGAAAAGGAAAAAAAAAGCTGTACTTAACTGGTATAGAAACAGCCACAGGGGAAAGCAAATGATGAAACCAGATGAATTGATTCAACACTGGCATTTTCCACACCTCCTAACTAGCTTACGGCTCCTCACTCAGTCTTTATTTGCACCTCTGGAGTGAATGATTTCCATGGAAGTCAATGGGAGAAATGTGTGTCTGGGCAGCAGGACTGGCCCCAGACAAGAGACTTGAGGAATATGGACATAAACGAGCCTGTGTGGAGGTGATGTCTGCTTACCACAGCAGAGATGCAGGGTGGGCTTTTCCGGGTGCCAGCAATGCTACCAACTTTGAAGAACTAAGGTGGAGACCTCTGTTGTGGGATATTTGTACACTGTGTGAAGGTGGATTGGTTTACTAAAAAGCTGAACGACCAACAGCTGGGCAGGAGGTATAAGCAGGTTTTCTGGGGAGAGAAAGGTAGGAGGAGATCATCGAGGGCAGAGGAGATGCCAAGGAGACATGGAAAGAGTCGGACATACAGAATGAAAGAAAGTAAAAAGCCACATGGTAAAATGTAGATTAATAAAGATAGGTTAATTTAAGTTGTAAGAGCTCGTGGGACAAGCCTAAGCTAAGGCTGAGCATTCATAATTAATAATAAGTCTCTGTGTTGTTATTTGTGAGCTGGCGCCCCCCCCCCCCAAAAAAAAAAAAATCTGACTACAGATCTTAGTCAGCCTCCATGCTGCATATCCCTTTCATGTACATCTGGCCTGGTCTGAAGACGGCTGTGAAGAACAGTAAGGAACAGGTGGGGAGGGAGGTCCTCTGAGACCCAAACCTGCTACTGTTAGGTGTGTGTTCAGAAACCCGTGTAAATGGTGAGAGTGCTGGGTGTCTCTAGTCACATCTACTTTCTTTGTTTGTTTGTGACGTTAAGGTCAAATTTGAAATGATCCTTTCAAGAAAATTAGAGCAAGAATGGGACATGGTTACACATTTTAGTTCACTGGGTTAGTCTGAAACTTTTTCCTTCTCATTTTTAACCACACGCTTCCCTTGTCCTTGAGCTGCTACGGCATGTAACACAGCAAACATTCAAAAGCATACGTAAGCCAGGCCTGCTGGCTCACATCTGCATTCTCACTACTGGCAGAGGATCACAAGTTCAAGGAAACCCAGGAAACTTAGTAAGACCTGTCTTGAGATAAAAGGTGAAGGGGGGGCAGGCCATGGTATGTAGCTCAGTGAGGGCCTGGCTTCTTTGAGGCCCTGGATTTGATACCCAGCACCACACAAAAAGCATACATTTAATGGTCAAGAGAACATACAGAATAGGGACCTCAGTGGTACAGTATGCAGGTCATCTTATTAGTATTGGAATTTGAAGTCAGAACTGTGCACTCCAGTCCTTTTCCGAGAGCAGTTGTGTCTCAGTCCTGTAACCTTGGCAATTAGCTAACCACTCTAGGTCACCAAGGCCTCCTCTGGTTTTCATATCCATCTTTCCAGGTGTGTGTGAGAATTAAATCTAAAGAATGATTTAAAGATCATATCTACCAGTATTCTCCAAAATGCTGCATAAGGCATTGCGATGCTGTATAATTGCCACTTGGTAATCATGAACAAATGTGAGAAATTTTATTGACAAAATACAAAACGTCCCCATATTGCTGTGTATATACAAATAGCAAGGTCCAGAGGTTAAGAGTGCTTACTGCCCTGTGGAGGACCTGGATCAGTTCCTAGAACTCACATGGCAACCCACAAACACCTGTTTTTAACTCCAGTTCCAGGGGACTTCTAGCCTCTGTAGGCATCAGTCATACACACAGTTGTAGCAGGAATCTTAAACGTTCTTATTAATAAAATCAAACCCGAGGCCAGTTATTGGGGTCAATGCTGGTAGATCAGAGAGACAGAACAAGCCACAGCTATCTCACCTTGCCATTTCCTCAGCTGGTCCTATTTCCTCAGACTGGAAGCTTCTGTGTCCTCATCCCAATGGCTCTCAGCTGAACTGCTGCTAGAAGCCTGAATGCTTAACCAGCCAAAATCTTCTAGTTTCTGGTCCTCACGCCTTATATATCTTTTTGCTTTCTACCACCACTCCCTGGGATTAAAG